AAATATATCAAACAGATTTTAACTATTAATTTTTAATATATAACAAATTATTTTATAAATTATAAATATTTTAAATATAATTTAAAAGACTTAATATACTATAAACATATTTTAAATATTAAAAAAAATATTATAAAACCTAATATACAAACCTAATATAAAAATAATATAAAACCTAATATAAAAATACTATACAATATAATATAAAAAAATACAATTAAAACATATTATAAAATATAATATAAAATCCTATAAGATGTAATGTAAAAAATCTTATATAACATAATGCTAAAAATACCACGAAATGTAATGTGAAAAATACTGTAAGACGTAATATAAAAATTCTATGTCATGAGTAACGAAAGTTCAATATCGAATCATAGAAAAAAATGAAAAATGTTGTTATACGATTCGGTCCGGTCTTAAAAGGGCAACATTTGTGCTTCAAGAAGAACCTGTGATTGATAAAATAGTAATTGAAGAATATGATGACAAAAAAAGCAACTGATTAGTAGATATCAGGTATGTTAAAAGTAAATTGACGATAAATGATGACAAAAGGAAAAAGAATAGAATCATTAGTAAGGTGAATGAAAAAACGTCAATAGAAGTAAACACAATGAAGAACACATACCTGATATTCAAATAGTGGATAAAGATCTGGAAAGTTACAGGCGCAAATTCGATTGTATTGATAAAACTATTAAAAGTAAAGTTATAAATATGAAATTTGATGAATTGAATCAAAAGAATGAAGTTAAGATCAGAATCATATCTGAGGGCTCGCATAAAAAGAAGTCATTCAAACATCATCAAAAATTAGTTGGTTACTGTTATCAAAATAAAAATAGAACTGAAAAGGAAGATTATAAGGCATTCGAATATTGTGAGAATATTGTTGAACATGAATATTCTGATAGACAAAATAGCTCTAAACTCTGCTATGAAAATAGAATTGGAAATGAAAAGAATAAACATCAGACATCTTTTTATTGCCAGAAAGTTGCCAATATGGGTAAAAATAGTGTTGACCATAAAACTTACAATCTCAAGTATAGCCATAAAAATAGAATCCAAGTTGATGATAATGGAACTTATGCTACCAAATATTGTCCTCAACATGGAATCAGAACTGAAAAAAATAATTATAAAGCGACTGCTTATCAAAAGCCTAGAAATTTGGATAGTGCTGATAAAACGTATTGTAATAGAATTGGAGTAGAAAAAGACAAACATAACGCATTTATTAACTATCAAAGAAATCCCAGAATATGACTTACTAAAGGAACACTTAACGCTGGTCACTATTATCAAGAAATAGGAATCAGAAAGAATAAAATAAAGGACGGCAAAATTGAAGATAAATATGATGTGATCTATAATGTAACAAGTGTATATTTTAGTAATAATGAAGACTCAAAATGTGAAATTAATAAAAAGTACTGCAATGTACCTGATGATGAAAAGAGAACGATAGACAACCATCGGTGGGATGAATCGGAGATTAAGATTGATCAAATATTGCTGACCTTGAGGAACGATATTGACAGTGGAAGTAGCACTATAAAGGATAAATATAAAGCACCTACTAGTTATCAAATGCTTGCGAAGATGAATAATAAGACACATAATTTTGCCGAATTGAATCAAAATAGGATTGTTAAAAAAGATAAATGTAAAGTATCCAATAATTATCAAAAACTAGCAGAAATTGGAATTGGTTATACTAATGGTATATATAATCTTAGACATTATTTTAAAAATGGGAATGTTGTTGAAATTGATAGGCATGTAGCATGTGGAGTACCTTTCATTATGTCTTTATATTGTTTTACTTTTATTATTTCTTGTAGTTTATCTTTATTGTTTTGATGTTCTTGTAGAACTTGAACTTAAGGGTCAAGAGAATTATAAAAAGCAGGAATGCCCTATCCAAAAAAAGGTTGTTGTTGCAGTAATCAGTAGTATGAATTCCTGGAATTCCTGGAATTCCTAGAATTCGAGAAATTCAAGGAAAAGTAGAAAAAATTAGAATAGCAGAAAAAATCAGAATAACGAGACAAATTAGAAAAGCTAGAAAAATCAAAATTCGCGTTATTTCTGTATAAGTAAAAATAATTATATAAGTGGAGATTCTCTCCAGAAATAAAACATAACTTTTGG